CCTATTAACGAGAAAATCTGCAACAGCATTTGCTTCCCGAATGCAAAGTATTAGACAGGACACTAAAAGTATCGATGATTATGCAAGAAATATTGAACAACTTATGTTAGATCTAATATTAGCGCAAGCAGACGGAGACGAGAATTCTGTTCAAATTCCAAAATTGGTGAAAAAAAAAGCAATTGATGCATTTTCGAACGGATAAAGGAATAGAACTATAATTGAGGCTAGAAACTATGTGCAATTAGAAGACGCTATAATGGGAGCAATTGTAAGAAACACCCGCGGGACACCCAGTACAGTTGTTACACATGATATCACCATGCGTCACCTTGTATCTAGCCAATGTCGTTTCTTACAAATCAGAAGTGGAATGGTTCCTATTGCCATAGTGCCACTGAGAATCGATGTGATTATTAATATGACGAACATTTCCTCAGGAAGTCTAGGCCTAAGAAACATCTTGTACAATTATACATGATCTCGATTATTCATAGGTTTTTGGAATTATTATTTGAAAATGGATCGTTGGAGTAGGCGACTGAGCAGGGCCGTCTCAGATACCTCTGAGTATGACGGTAGTACTCCAACAAGACGTAGCAGATCGAGGGAACGGCGTTCGACTTCCGTTCGAGTCTTGAACGTTTTCACAGACCTAGAAGAACATCTAACAGTCCTCATCCACGTAGGTCAAGAGGAAGTATTTCCAAAAGCAATACGTCAATTGATAGATTGAGTGATGCTGTTACCAGATTTATCCAGGCTATGCCGGAACGGCCAAAGAATGTTGGATACCGGGGCGATGTCGTCCCATATTTCAATCCAGAGAATGGGGAGTTATCAATGACAATGTGGTGTCGTAAGGTTGATGAGCTAAGGGAAATCTATCAATGGAACGAAGAGACAACGATTTACTATGCGTTGAATAAACTGAAAGGATTATCCGAGACATGGTACAAAAGTTTCGAAACACTCAGATATACATGGTTGGAGTGGAAGGAAAAACTTCAGGAAGCATTTCCGTCAGTTGATGATTATCACTCAACTCTCGAGAAAATGATGATGAGGAGGAAGAGTTACGACGAAACGCACCTGAAATATTACTATGAGAAGCTGTCGTTGTTGAATCGTTGCAGGATTTTTCATAAGGATGCCGTTTCATGCCTTGTGGGTGGAATAGATGATCCGCATGTAAAAATAGCGGCTAGGGCCAGTAACTTTCCGGAACCCGCTAAACTTCTTGCCTACTTTTCCTCTTCCTGATACTGGAAGAACCCATATGAGATCTACGCACATTGAACTTCAAGGGTCCAAACGTAAGCCACTTACAAATTTCCATTCGAATCAAGGACGAGAAAAATGCTTCACTTGTGGGCGACCTGGTCATATATCTTCATCGTGCTCCCAAAGAAAGGACAAGACGACCCTTGTCTGCAACTACTGCAAGAAACCTGGTCACATTGAAGACACATGTTACAGCAAACCGAATTCTACCGCGACGGTGAATCGGACTGAATGACTATATGAAGGCACTCGTAAAATCACAAATCAGAAATACTATAAGGATGTGCAAATGCATGGTGAACACTCTACAGCCTATGTCGATCTTGGCAGTACTTGTAATATAATTCGTCATGACGAAGTATACCGCCTCTCACTTCCTGTTAACTACCAAGATAAAACCCTCGTACGTGGGTTTGGTGGAGGGGAGGTATGTACACTTGGAAGTGTTACGTTTCACTTGAAGGTCGATGATGTTGGTGCACAGGTAGATGCCAATGTTGTTCCATACACTGGTCAAGATGTTTCTCTCCTGATCGGGCATCCTTTCACTGAGAAACAAGGGGTCATAATTGTCAAAGATGATGAAGCCTTGCGATTCGTCAAAAACTCCAACGAATTGGATAACCTTAGTTCCATTATGAAGATACCCCTATTCACTAGAGAAGAAACAATAGTACCCCCAAATTGTGCAGCAAATATCAGCGTCAGCCCACTGAACGGTTACAATGGTGATCTTTTCGTAGAAACAAGCCTCAGATATGGAGAAGGCAAGGAGTGTTGTATTCCTAACACTTTTTTGAGAATTGTAGAAAACACCCCTTCACTAATTCCATTTGTGAATTTATCAGAGAACGATATATTTATACCAGCATCGAAACTTTTTGTTCGGGCATGGCCTTGTACAGAGGGGCAACATGAGCCCACGGAAAAGGTACAGAGAGTTTCTATCAAGAATTTGCCTCCTTTGAACTTGAAGAAAATATAAACTGGCCCTATAACACTAGCGGAGAGGAAGAATTTAGAACAACTCATACTACAATACCGTGATTGCTTTGCTGATGATATCAAGGAGTTGGGTTGTGCTAATTCAAATGAGATGGACATAGAGCTGAAGAATAGCAAGACATTCACCTATCGCCCATACCGAATGTCCGAGCATGCACAAAATGTTGTCGAGGATATGGTGAAAGAATTGCTCGATGTCGAAATAGTTAGCGAGTCAAGTTCTCCGTTCTGTTCACCAGTATTACTGGTGAAAAAAAAAACTGGGGATCATCGCCTATGTATTGACTACAGAAAGCTCAATTCTCAAACTTCAAAGGATCGTTATCCATTACCTCGCATAGATGATCAGCTAGATAGGCTACACGGCAGTAAACACTACACGAGCTTAGATCTACGATCAGGTTACTATCAAATTCTGATGAAAAAGGAAGCAAGGCCTTACACTGCTTTTGTTACACCTCAAGGACAGTACGAATTCAATAGGATGCCATTTGGTCAAACTAATGCTTCTAGTGTATTTCAACGACTAATGAATAAGGTACTTGCGCCTGTTAAGAGATTCGCAGCTATTTATCTAGATGACATATTGGTTCACACGTCGACAGTGCAAGAAGGAATCCTTGCTTTGCAACAAATCTTCAAATTATTAAGAGGAGAGGGGCTGACCCTCAATCTTCGAAAATGTACTTTCTTCATGACATCTGTATCTTACCTAGGGTACCAGATAATTGAAAGTCAAGTCAGACCAGGAGAACCAAAGTCTAAAGCTATTGAAGATTTTTCGCCACCTCGAAATGTACATCAAGTTCGACAATTTCTTGGTCTTACCGGGTACTTTCGACAATTTGTCTAAAATTATGTTCTTATATCTGAACCCATAACACAGCTTCTGAGGAAAAATACAGTTTGTGAATGGACGAGCATTGAGCAGAACTCTTTTGAAAACTCAAAAGAAACATTAACTGAAAGACCAACCCTGGCGCTATACAATCCTCAATCGGAAACAGAAGTTCATACGGATGCTTGTGCGAAGGGTCTTGGAGGAATATTGCTCCAACGACAACAGGATTCAGAACTGCACCCTGTGTGTTATTATAGCCAACAAACGCTGGACAACGATTGTAAATATCTTTCATATGATTTAGAAACTCTTGCCGTTGTAGAGACTCTCAAGAAATTTTGAGTATATTTAATTGGAAAAGATTCCACAGTAGTTACTGATTATAATGCGTTGAAAATGACTAGTGAAAAGAAGGACTTACTTCCCCGGATTGCACGATGGTGGCTACAACTGCAAGAGTACACCTTCACAGTAAAGTATCGACCAGGGAATCGGATGAAACATGTGGATGCATTAAGTCGAAATGCCACAGCTAGAGAAGCTCCATCCGTAGAAATCGTATTTCGAATTGAACAAGCGGATTGGGTTCTATTGGGCCAACTGACAGATGAGAAAATAAACCAGATCCAACAAACACTATCCAAACCTCCAGCAACGGAATCAGATTATGATGTTTATAAAAATCACGCACTTCGAGACGGTAGAGTATATCGCATTACAGCAAGAGGAATCCAGTGGGTGGTACCAAGAGGAATGCGCCAACAGGTTGTGAAAGCCGCACATGATGAGTTTGGAAAGAATTCAGGTTTCCTTCATCCCATACCAAAAGAACCTATACCGATGAACGTACTACATATTGACCACCTTGGACCGTTTCCTAAGTCCAAGAAAGCTAATGTCCATTTGATCGTATGTGTCGATGCCTTCACCAAATTTGTGTTTTTGAAAGCTGTGAAATCTACTGAAGTTGTTCATGTTATACCGTTCCTAGAGACCATTACCAATCTTTATGGATTACCCAAATTGATCATCACAGACCAAGGTTCTTCTTTCACGTGTCGAGAGTTCATGCGGTATTGCACTAATAAGGGTATATATACTATATGTAATGAATGCAGTAGCAACGCCTAGAGCCAATGGGCAAGTCGAAAGGTTCAACAGAACCATTTTAGGAGCCCTAATGACAGGCATGACAGACGAAGACATGTGGGACCAGGAGGTCGACCGTATTCAATTCTACATTAATGATGTTCCGAACAAGACGACAGGTAAGACACCTAGTGAGCTCTTAC